TCAGTCCTGAGTGTTCATTGGAAGGACTGATGCTGAAGCTGAAACTCCAATACTTTGGCTACCTGATTCGACAAACTGACTCATTTGAAAAGACCCTGATGCTGGGAAAGATTGAAGGCAGGAGGTGAAGGGGACAACAGAGGGTGAGATGGTTGGATGGCATAAGCAACGTGATGGACATGAGTTTGAGTAAGCTCCAGGAGTTGGTGATGGACAGCGAAGCCTTGCATGCTACAGTCCATGGGGTCGCAAAGAGTTGGACATGGCTAAGTGACTGAACTGACCTGAATATCTGGGTACCTGCTGGCCCAGTTGACACATATAATTAACCATCCCAGTGAAAAGTGAAAGTGTTAGTTGCTCGGTTGTATCCAACTCATTACAACCCCATGGACTGTAGCCCACCAAGTTCCTCTGTCCATGGGATTTCCCAGGCAAGAATACTGGAGTGGGTAGCTATTCCCTTCTCCAGGGAATCTTCCTGACCCAGGGATTGAACCCAGGTTTCCTGAATTGCTGGCAGATTCTTTACCGTCTGAGCCATCCCAGTACTATATTATATTTCTCAATCTGTTTCTTACTTTTACTAAGAATAATGTTTTTTAAGATTAACAGTTGTGGTAGGCAGAATTCTAAGATGCCCCCCCACCCCAATCTTTGCCCCTGGGGCATGATGATATTATGTTACCTGACAAAGCAATATTGTGGATATAATTATAGTTACCAATCAATTGACATTAAGATAAGACAATTATCCCAGTTGGCCTAACCTAATCACATGAGCTCTTTAAAAATCGTTTTCTTCAGCTTCTTGTAAAAGAAGAACTCAGGGAGAACTCAGGCGTGAAAATGATTCAACACACCAAGACTGGTTTGAGGATGAAAGGAGCCATGTGATGAGGAGGGGGGTGACCTCTAGTAATTAAGAGCAGCCCCTGCCTGACAGCTAGCAAGAACACAGCAACCTCAGTCCTACAACTGCAAGGACGTGAATTCTACCAACAAGCTGATTTGGTGGAGTCTTTCCCAGAGCTTCTAGATAAGAAGCAGTCCCACCAACACTTTGATTTTAGCCTCGTTGGCTAAAATCAGTGTTGCTGTCCATTTTATTTATTTAAAAAACACAAATAGTCGTATTTTTTCTTTCACATGAGGCAAGATTCCAAGAACTCTACAAGTATTAGTTCTTTTAATTGTCATATCTTGGAGATACATGTTTTATTATTATTTTTTCCCATTTTACAGATGAAGAGACTAAAAAACCGAGAAGTTAGGTTACTTACCAAATGACAGGTGCCAAAACCAACAGGCAGACCTCCTCACCTAGGTGATCTGGTGTGGGGAATCATTGTTCAAATCCCACACGTGGCTCTTTGCTTCTAGCAGCTACTAAATATTTCATACTGTGTATCTCCCGTACTTAACTCTTAACTTTTTAGGGATGGATTTCCCATGATTCTGTGCAAGAAGCTCACCAAAGACTATCCCACAGGAGTTTCATGGGTCCTAGGATACATATGTAACGTGAGTAAGTACGTCCAGACGGCTCTGTAGAATGACCACATTTGTCCACAGCACAGGCAGCACATCAGGGTCACCATATGTCTGCCATAGGCATTTACCAGCTTACCAATTCTAGGCAATCTGATGAAAAGTGATATTTCAAATGGATGGAAGATCTAAATAGACATTTATCTGAAGAAGACATTGTTGCTATTGTTTAGTTGCTAAGTTTTGTCTAACTCTTTTGCAACACCATGGACTATAGCCTTCCAGGCTCCTCTGTCCATGGGATTTCCCAGGCAAGAATACTGGAGTGGGTTGCCATTTCCTTCTCCAAAGGGGATCTTCTCAACCCAGGGATCAAACCGGCATCTCTTGTATTGGCAGGTGGATTCTTATCATTGAGCCACCAGAGATGGCCAAAAAGGACATGAAAAGATGCTTAACACCACCAATTATTAGCGTAATACAAATCAAAACTAAAATGAGGTATCCTCACACTGGTCAGAATGGCCATCATCAAAAAGTCTATATTGCTAGAGAGGGTTTGAGAAAAGGGAAACCTCCTACACTGTTGGTGGGAACGCAAATGTATACAGCCACTACAGAGAAAAGTATGCAGGATTCTTAAAAAACTAAAAGTAGAACTACCATATCCCTCTTCTAGGCATATATCCAAAGAAAACCATAATCTGAAAAGATACATGCACCTCAGTGTTCATTGCAGCACTATTTATAATAATCAGGACATGGAAGCAACCTAAATGTCCATTGGCAGAGAAATGGATAAAGAAGATGTGGTACAGTGAAACAGATCGCCAGTCCAGGTTGGATGCATGAGACAAGCGCTCGGGGCTGGTGCACTGGGATGACCCCGAGGGATGGGATGGGGAGGGAGGTGGAGGGGGGATCAGCATGGGGAACACATGTAAATCCATGGCTGATTCATGTCAATGTATGGCAAAAACCACTACAATATTGTAAAGTAATTAGCCTCCAACTAATAAAAATAATTGGGGAAAAAAATTTTAAAAAACAAAAACAAAGAAACAAAAAAAGATGTGGTACATATATACAATGGAATATTTGTCATTAAAAAGAATGAAATAATGCCATTTTGCAGCAACATGCATGTATCTAGAGATTGACATGCTGAGTAAAGACAGTCAGATAGAGAAAGATAAATATTATATGATGTCACTTATATGTGTAAGCTAAAAAATGGCACAAATGAACTTATTCACAAAATGGAAATAGAGTCACAGATGTAGAAACCAAACTTATGCTCACCAGGGAGAAGCAGGGGAGGGATGAACTGGGAGACCGGGACTGACATATACACACTGCTATGGGAGTTGGTGATGGACAGGGAGGCCTGGCGTGCTGCGATTCATGGGGTCGCAAAGAGTCAGACACAACAGACTCTGAACTGTTGAACAACTGTTGAACAACAACAATTGAACTGAACTGAATATATATAAAGTATGTAATTAATAAGGACCTACTGTCAGCACAGAGGACTCTGCTCAGCACTGTGCAATGGCCTATGTGGGAAAAGAACCTAAGAGAGGATGCAGGTATATATAAAAGTGATTCAGTTTGCTGTACATCTGAAATTAACACAACACTGTGAGTCAACTATGCTTCAATTAAATTTTTTAAAAAACAAATACAAATTTTAAAAAATACAAGAACTGAATCTCTGGGAAATGAAAAGAATTTTCTGAGCTCTTAGAGACATTTAAAAAATAATCAAAATTATTTAATCAACATTAAAAAGTCATATTTCATTGCTTATCTTAAAGGAGAATTTCTCTCTTTTTTAATACTGTTTATTATTGTGGCAAATATGTACAACAAAAATTTTTCCATTTTGCTAATTAATTCTAATTATTAATTAGATTGCTAAATTATTAATTGCTACATAAATAATTAGCATTAATTATACACATAGCAGAGTACAACCATCATGTGTATTTCCAAATCTTTCCATCACCACAAACATTGTTTTTCAATTTCCACTTCACTTTGAGCATCTCTTCTTATGCTTTCAGTATGTTTACATTTGATTCCGCCTTATTCACCATAAGAAAACAAGATAAACAAATGAAAGAAAAGAAGCTCTTAGCCCTAACACAGCACATTGCCTAAGGGTCAGCCAACTTTGAATTTGAACCTCAGCTCTTACCTTTCCAGCCAGCTGACCCTGGGAAAGTAAATTAATCTCTTTGAGCCTCAGTTCTCTTATCTGTATTGTGAAAGTAATGGTAATAACCCCTGTAGGTTGTTCTATTAAATGAGTTGATACATGTAGAGGGTTTATCACCATTCCCAGCATAAGTATTTCATAAATGGTAATTAGCACTATTAACACTAATAGAAATAGTATCAATATTAATTTTATTTGGACTGCCCTTTCATCCAAACCTTCCCTCAAAGGATGGGACAGGGCATCTTCCATGTGGCTATATGATCCTTACCACCAATAGACCTAGGATTTTAAGGAAGAATAAATAGAATTGAGAATTTTTTTTTTTTTAATGCTTTGGCTGTGCTGTGCAGTATGCGGGATCTTCGTTTCCTGACCAGGGATGAAAGCCATGTGCCCCTTGCAGTGGAAGTGCAGAGTCTTAGCCACCGGGCTGCCAGGGAAGTCCCCAGGGTTGAGAAAATGCAGAACCAAACAAGGGAAAATGTTCAAACCGGAGCAATCCCCAGGGGTCCTTCGTGGGGAAGATTCTCCTCTTTGGGCTGGGCTGGGTGAGTGCACAGTCCCAGGCAGGCAGAGGACCAGCCCTGGGCTCCCTCCCACCCTAGCTGAAGAGAAGAAGCTGTCAGACTGATAAACATCTGAATCTCCAGGAGTGTCAGATGTGTTTTTTTATGGTCTGTTTTTAAGATGTTGTGATATGCTCATGTATGTTTTGGGCCTGAATCCCTTCAATTTAATTGATGGCACTAATATGTAAATAAATAAAATCCTGCAGATTGCACTTACGTTGTGAGCTATACATCATTTGTTTTTTTGAAACATGAGTCAGGTTTTGCTTCCCACTGTTATTATCTTCTGTCCTGTTCCCAGCAGCATAGACTACAGTCATTTCGTTAAACTTGCCAAAATGCAAAAAGGACCAAAGTGAACTAAACCAAAAAACAGCTTTAACATGTAGGAAAATTATTTCTACTCCAAAAGTGAGAGTCCAATAGAACCAGCTCAGTAGTGTTTGTACAGTTTTATTTCTTTATGCAATTTAATCCAGCTGTTTGCCAGCATTTGAAAAAGAAAGAGAAAATATAATTGCCCTGCTTAAGACAATTTTAAAGTATACTTAAAATTTTTCCATCTTATCTAGGTGCTTCTCTGCTACTTTTTAGAATTTCTAATTGTAGAATTTGCTTGCTGGAAATGTGTGCTTTGGGCTAGAAGGAATATTTAGAAATCCTTACCCCAAAAGAAAAAAAAAAAGTGGGAGTGGAAATTTAAAAGAGGACCGCCTAATTCAGTACTAAAACCAGTGTGAGAAGCAGTGTGTGTGAGTGTGAGAGAGTGTGTGTGTGTGTAGTGTAAAATGTGCTTTTCAAAGTGCTGAGAGTTTGATAGGAATGTTTGATTAGCTCCTCTCAGAAAAGAAAAGGTGCTTGGACCTCTTCTTGTTTCTTCTTTAGAATAATTTGGATGGGATCTGTGATGCAGAAAAGCTTAAGGAAAAAGGGATATCCGTTCTCTGTGGTGGAAAAGTTTTGAAAAAAATTTGCTTTCTTCAAACAAGGTATGTTCTAATGAATTGCTATGTTATTTAGATAGTTTGCTTTCCATTTCTTGTTATAAAAACATGAAAATATTTTTATCATTAAGAAACTAGAATACATCCCTTGACCAAGTAATCAGTCTATACAAATTTCAGTCTCAGGAGAATTGAATGGTAATTGACATCTTTGGAAACAACTAATATACGTATATCAACTCTAAATAAATTGTGCTGAGGTAAGATTAGAACAAGATTTTCACTGTATCTTTTAAACCAACTTAATTGTGGTTAAAATAAGTTGAAAAGTATAATGTTTGTGCAGAACTTTACAGTACGTTTAAATCTATTATTACCCCGTATTATACCTTACTTCCTATGTGGAATATAAAGCAGCAGAACAAATTGCTTATAACAATGAAGGAAAAGCAGATACAGGCATATTGATGCTAAGTTAAAAGAGAAATTATTTAGAGTAGATCTATACTTCTCTCTATTCAGACAGATCTTGGAGGAATGTGGCTACATGTGTGATTTTGTATCTTGTTTACACTGGAAGTATTTTCTTAGGTAGAATGTTTCTTTAACTGATAAGCCCAAGAAACAGCCGGCATTGTTAAGTCTTCTATTGTAGCCCAACTTTACACAGGGAAACAGGATACGAAATCTCTTTCAAGCATGATTTGTGTTAAACCAGTATAAACATGAAATAAATGCCTCAAGCTCAGGTTAAACAGAGAGGATAAGATTGAATAATTAGACGCGATGGTTTGCTCTGAACAACCCACGGCATCTTTGCCATCCCCAGCTTTGAGAGTGGAATTCAAGATTTTCTTTGGGTTTATTGTAAATATAAAACCAGGCATTTTTGGCCATGGTGGTTATTCAAAAATGTGAGCACTAAGAAAATAGCATTTTGCCATTACGTTGTGTTGCAATAAATTTGGAAGTTTTGGTGGTAAGGTTCTAAGGTTGTTTTTCCTTCGGTCTCTTGAAAGATGAAAATTGCCTGTAGCCAAGAAAAATCAAATACTATTTGTTTGTGTATTTTCTCTGTTGTGCATGTATGAACTGCAAGCAGTAGCTACTCCACCCATAGGAAAGCTGGAAGTGCCTGTCTTTTATTTATTGAATTAAAATACCCTCTTTTGTTGAAGGACTTTAGACAAAGAATTGCAAGGCTAAAGGGCTGCATTTTTAATTGCAATATGCTGGTTTCCCAGACTAAGCTTCATTTAAATATACCTTATACCTCACCCCTGAAAGGAAATACGGTAGGAACTTTGAAAGTGCTTAATATCTATCCTGACATAGCATTTACTTTATGAATAGCGTTTAGACGATCTAATTATCTTTTTTGCCAAGTTGTTGATCACATGAAGAATAGTTTCTTTCAGTGAAAATACACTGGGTTTGAGAATGGTTTATGAATAGCATCAGGAGAACAAAAATGCTTGTGCTGTTCCCATCTGTAATTCCTGTAAGACATACTGCTAGACAGGAAAGTGGTATGGTTCAGCGCCATGCCCCAAGCCAGGAGCCCTAAATTACAGTCACAGCTCTGTCGCTGTTTAGTGGTGTTATCTTGACAAAGGTGTGTAACAGTTTTTGACTTTTGTTTCTCCATCTGAAAAATAGAAAAAGCAATGCCTGCACACCCTTCTTCCCAGGATGGCTAAGGGGTTCAATATTGATTCTCAGTTTTAAAAGGGTTTTGAAATGTGAAAAGTTATAAAAAAAAAAAAAAAATGGAACCATTCTTCCCAGATATTTAAAAAAAAAAAAAAAAAGAATGCAAGGGAAGGAGTCACTGGTTGTGAAATAAATGTTTCGTGGCCTCTAGGATGTTGCTACAACAATGTGCGACTTAGCCTCTCCTGGGGGAGGCACGAGACAGGGATCAAGAGCAGTGGGTGCAGGACAGAGCTCACTGCTCGGTCAGTGGAGGGCCTTCTAGCTGTGTGACCTTGGGGAGGTTACTCAACATCTCTGTGTCTCCATTTCCTCACGAAAGAAGTGACGAAATTGCCTTCCTAATCCTATAGTTCTATTCACTGGAATATCTTCAATGTTAAGACATGGCCAGACCAATTTCACTGTTGAGACTTTATATACTATTGATACAAAATCAAAACAGAGTAATGGAACCTACAATATATTGAAAATGTCTGTGCTCACCTAACTAAAGACTTCAGCACACTCAAAAATGAAAAGTAATATAACTTTATGCTAATGAATATAATCCAGTGTGTATACATGTATGTGTGTATGTATAATCCTATGTGTATAAATAAATATATGTAGATGTATATTTACACTTATCTTTCCATAGAGGACAGTGTGGTTCTGACTTCTTTTAGTTCTCTGGTGCATTTCTTTGGCTGTATGACCTCATGTGGCGATAATGTCAAATATCTAAATTTAGATAAAGTAAAAGGCCAGGTGGCCCTCCTACGCTATGGATCCTGTAGGGGCTTGTCAGGCAGGAGGTTCTGACACTTCTTAAATGTGTTACCTTTGGCAAATTTTGTAAACCTTCTGGGCCTCAGTTTTCTCATCTGTAAAAAGAGTCTACTATTAGTGGTTACCTCATAGGGCTGTGGCAAAAAAGACTTCAACTTGTAGCTGGTACAAGTTGTTATAGTTTGGTCAGTACCCAAACGTTAGCAAGTAATTTTTTATGGTATGGGACTGGAATGAAGAACTGAAATCAGCTGTTAAATCATTTGCAATCCTCTTCAAACTTTTAAACATTAACTCTTTGGATGTAGTAAGCAAATAGATATGTGGAACTATGTGATCTTAATATAATTAATAGAAATTTGGGACTTCCCTGGTGGTCCAGCAGTTAAGATTCTGTGCTTCCAATGCAGGGGGTGCAGGTTTGATCCCTGATTGGGAAACTAAAATCCCAAATGCCATGTGATACAGCCCCAATTTTTTTTTTCAATTATTAGAAAATTCTTGCTATCTTGCAGGAGATCTGAAACTAATCAATATTTCAACAAATATTAAATCAAGAGAGGCACAGCCATTCTGTGATGTCTGTATTTTGAGAATCTCCAAAGTCCCCTTCTGGCTGCCAAAACTTGTGTTTCCCTGTGGCTTGCAAAAGGTGGTAAAATTCCTGGCTCCCTGAACACATATACGCTGAGAGAGAGAAGTGCACAGAGAATTTGCTAGTTTCTACAGACGTGAACGTTCCCTGTGCAGGTGGCAGTGAGCAGCTTCTGCTCAGGCAGAGAATGGGGCAAGAAATGAGCGATAGACTGGGGCCAGTCCTGGCTCCCCATCGGAAATGGCTTTCTGATAGCGCCAGCTCTTAAAGTTTCATTAAGGCACAGGACTGCACCAGACAGCCAGGGCCTGATTCCTACACTGGCCTGGACTGTGGGGTTCTCCTGCAACTAGTTCCTCCAGCTCTGTACCTATGCCCCTCCAGCCCAACTCCCTTCAGCAGGTTGTACTGCTGTGTACACCCCATGGGGAGATCCTGCAGCGACAGGGGTGTTCGCTGACAGCCAGGGGCCCTGGCCCAAGGTTGGCCCTAACCCTTGCTACCAACCCTGGCTCTCAACCCTACAGACAGCTAACCCTGCAACCCAGTCTATGCACACTTCTGGCTCAAGCCACTGCTACTGCCTGCACTGATCCCCAGCCTCTAAAGGCATCACTGAGGACTCCCACAGCCCTTGAAGCCACTGTGGATCCTCTGTCCTCCTCTCCAGGGACCACGATGTCGTTGAAGCTGTGGCCTGAGCTGTCAAGCTATCACATCTCCTTACAACCCCTATACTTAGAGCCCTGTACCATTAGACGGGTCACAGTACACTCCGGTGTGCCCCTTCTCACGGGCAAAGGTCTTTCCTTACAGAAGTCAGTCCATGAAGCTGGAAAGAGATGATTACTTCTCCAAATGCATAGATATCCACACAAGGCTATGGGCATTATGAAGCATCAGAGAAACACGCTGCCTCAGAAGAAACAAAGTAAACCTCCGGTAACTGACACCGAAGAAATGGAGATACATGAACTGCCTGACAAAGAATGCAAGATAATTCTCCTAAAGATGCTCAGAGAGCTACAAGAAAATACAGATAAATAATATAACCAAATCAGGAGAACAAAATGAGAAGCTCAGCAAAGGGACAGAGAAAATTGGAAAAGAAACCAATGGGAATTTTAACTAAAACACACACACACACATAAATTGAAGTTAATCTGAGACCATCTAGGTGAGTTCTTTACAGACCAGGAGGTGAAGGGCCAAAATCGTATTCTCAATAGAGCAAAGACTATTTCAGTCTTGTTGACTGCATTTTCCTATGGTTACCACAAAACACACAGTTGTGGAAACTGGATTCAGAACTTGTTTTTAATCAACTAGAAAACTTTTCCACTTAACAGACTGCAAGTCTTAAAGAAACCCTGAGAGATCGCCCATCAGAAATGCTCCGGGCTGCCTAGAAAATGCACACAGCAGGCACCAGGCGATGCTCGGAGTTGAGACCCATAAAAGCAGCACATCGTGTGGCAACCTGCAAAGAGCAAATCCCCCCACCGGCAGATGTTGTGACTGGAATCCACTCTCACATTCCTCTGGTGCTCATACCCTGAGGGAGAAAGGGGAACTGAGATGCCAGACTCCTTTCTGAGTCAAATTCACGAGCCAGGGTCTTGAAACAAAGCAGAGCAAAAATGCATTTGATTTAGATTCAGCTTAGAGAATATTTTGCTGTGTTTGATTTTGGTCTTATAGGTTAAAAAAATATTTAGGCCCATGTCTGCATCAATGTTGGGGCTTCCCAGGTGGCGCTAGTTGAAGAACCTACCTGCCAATGCAGGAGACATAAGAGACACAGGTTCGATCCTTGGGTTGGGAAGATCTGGAGGAGGGCATGGCAATCCACTCCAGTACTCTTGTCTGGAGAATCCCATGGACAGAGGAGTCTGGCAGGCTACAGTGCATAGGGTTGCAAAGAGTCAGACATGACAGAAGTGACTGAGCATGCACACACTGCTTC